ATTGGATTTGTGATCTATACTGACTTACCGTTGAAGTCGTCTTGTTATTTCTGTGAATGTATGTATGTATGTGTGTGTGTGTGTGTGTGTGTGTGTGTGTGTGTGTGTGTTAATGTACGTGTATGTAAGTGTATGTGTGTGTATATGTAAGTGTGTACTTATTTGCTTGTGTTTATGTAAGATTATTTTCTTGTGTGTAAGTATATGAATGAGTGACTGAATGAAAGAATGAGTGAATCATGCATAGGGCCTTCAGCATTAATTAGTTTATTGCATTAATTTAGTTAAAAAAAGGACTGTTCTTTTTTGTGGCAGTATTGCTGATGTAAATAAGTGATTCCATATGACACTACTGCCACCAACTTGTTGTCAAAAGGTTTGTGATGACAGCTATGAATAAATATGACAACAAAGTTTTGAGAAAAAGAATGCTCAAAATAAGTAAGAGAAATCAATTTGTACTACTGTTTTTGGTTGATGTTTATGATTGTTCTCTTCTGTTTTGTAATTTTAAAATGTATCTACTGCATTGATTTTATATGTATAGAAATTTGATTGGTCTAAGCAATATTAAACATTAGTTTGATCACATACTGTTTATCAATTATTCATTGTTTTACCAATGCTCATTTTACCTATACGTATTTGCAGCATGTGTAATACAAATTAGTTCTCAAAAATACCTTCTACAGTTTGTTGTACATAATTGCTGTGTGTGCTAATACTGCTGTGAAATATTGCTTCCTATACATATTCCTTATTACTGTTACTGATAGTAATGGCGACATTAATAATAATAATAATGATAATAATAGAAGTAGTAGTAGTAATGGTAATAGTAATAGTAGTAGTAATAGTAACAGTAATAGTGGTAGTGGTAGTGATATTGTTAGTATTAATAATAATAATAATAATAATAATAATAATAATAATATAAGTACTTTGAAAATGGAATTTGATAAACATAACCGTTTCTTTTTTCTTTCTTAAAGCTAGCGATGGAGCATTTGACAATTTTGCTAAGAAAAAACGAAGGGCTGAAGAAGAAGAAGAAAAGTTAAAAAATTTGTACAATTAAAGACAGCTAAGTATTTGTCTTTTGAAAATTTGGTGTCATCAAATTTGATGATTTAGCTATTGGATGAATGCTGAGGAATTAATATCTGTTTCTTTCTTCATTTTGGTGTTTTTTTTT